ATGTGGGGGGCTGGAGAGATGGCTCAGAGGTTAAGAGCATCGCCTGCTCTTCCAAAGGTCCTGAGTTCAATTCCCAGCAACCACATGGTGGCTCACAACCATCTGTAATGGAGTCTGGTGCCCTCTTCTGGCCTGCAGACATACAGACAGAATATTGTATACATAATAAATAAATAAATAAATAAATAAATAAATAAATAAATAAATATTAAAAAATTAAAATGTGCGGGTTAATAAAAATGAACATTTATTCAGCTAATAAAATTATACAGTACTGGTATAGAGGATGTGTGTACCTCAATGAATAAAACTAAGAGTCCAAAAATAGACAGTTTTATGGACTATTAGTTTTCCACTAGGGTATTAAGACCATTTAAGAGCGCACTGAAGTTTAGCAAGATTTAAAGTTTTGTACATAGGACTATCAAGAAAGTGAAGAAAGGGGCTGGAAATTAACAATGAAGTGCGTGTTCAGTATTCAAGAGGACCTGAAAGAAAGCGGGGAGGGACGGGGGCGGCATTAGTCACAAGAATTCCAGGGAGCTAGTTAAAGAGCCACAGACCCCAGGATTAGGGCTATCATGCTGTCCCATTCCTGAAGCCTGTGTGAGGACCATCACAAGAGGCGCCAAACACTATGGGAAATTAGAGTTGCTGTGGCATGAAAGAGGAAGACACTCAATGTCCTCCTTCAGTCTAATGCCTGGACTCTTAACTCAGGTCTTCAAGCTTGCAGGACTGTTACCCAATAAGCCATCTTGCCAGATTCATTCTCTCATTCTCTCCCTTGCTCCCCTCTCTTTTGGTTTTGTTTTTGGACAGCATCTCACTACATAGCCCAAGACAGCCTTAAACTTAGGGATACTCTTGCCAAGCCTCCTAGTGATGTAATTACAGGCATTTTTATTTATTTATTTATTTGTTTGTTTGTTTGTTTGTTTTTTACCGTGCCTGGCTTCTAGTAGTTTCCTATATGTAAACAGGTCCTATGTTTGTCCCTTCTCATGGCCCTGTTCAGTCTGGACCCTCCAGACCTTCCAGATGCCCCTGGTTGAGCTCTCCCTCACATCTACAACAAAACCTTCTCCTCAACCATAACTAGGAGTGGCTGTGTCCTCATTTTCATTCAATTTTCTTGGCTATCCCAAATTGCTTTTAAGTCAGGGTCTCTCTACATAATCCCAATTATCTTGGAACTCACTTTGTAGTCCAGGCTGGCCTTGAATTCACAGAGATTCATCTGCCTCTGCCTTCCAAGTGCTGGGATTAAAAGTGTGAGCCACCTCTGCCAAACTGTTCAATGTTTTTTAACACCATCACTATAAGTAAAGCACAGATTCTTTTCAAAGTTTATGCTCATAAAGTATTTGATAAACTTCTGTGTAAGTCAGTACTATGCTCATGCTAGGTTTTGGCAAATCTTGTTTTATATTTATTTCAGTTTTTTTCAAGACAGGGTTTTTCTGTGTATCTCTGGCTGCCTCGAACTCACAGAGATCTGCCTGTCTCTGCCTCCCAGAATGCTGGGATTAAAGGCACATGCCACCACTGCCCAGCATTTTATATTATTTTATGTGTATGGAATTTTGTTTTTGTTTTTTGAGACAGGGTTTCTCTGTAGCTTTTGGAGCCTGTCCTGGAACTAGTTCTGGTAGGCCAGGCTGGCCTTGAACTCACAGAGGTCTGCTTGCCTATTTCTGGGATTAAAGGTGTGCACCACTGCTGCCAGGCCTGTATGGATGTTTTTCTGCATTTGTCTATATATTTTTGCATGCCTGGTATGACAGAGGCCAGCATAGGGTGTTGGATTCCCAGGCCTAGATACAAAGCACCTATTGCTCTTTAACTCATGAGCCATTTCTCCAGGTAGCAAGCCCTTTCCCCCAAAACACACATACACATAATTTAAAAATAATAATAAAATCTAAATACCTCTGGTCTATACTTACCAACTATTTCATGCTTAACAGCTAAGTTTACAGTATCCGGTCTCCCTATGACCCTATGAGCATGTTTTCATAAATGGGAAAGCTATGTAATTTTTCTTACTTCTTTTCCTTCTTTTTTCTTTTCATTTTCCAAGACAGGGTTTCTCTGTGTAACTGCTGTGATTATCCTGGAACTAGCTCTGGAGACCAGGCTGGCTTTGATTAAAGGCGTGAGCCACCACCGCCCAGCTCAAAGTTTGTGGGACAGGGTCTTGCACAACTTAGTCTAGTCTCAAACTCCCTATGTTCATACTCAAGGATGACCTTGAATTTGTGATCCTCCTGCCTCCTCATCCGGAGCTGGGATTACAGGGTTGTACTCCCCTACCCAGTTTGTGCTGTTAGGGATCAAACACACTATCAACTGAGGTGTTTAAGAGGACATGGCTCTGCACTTATGAGATCTGAGTGCAAATCCTCAGCACACACATTTTGCCAGGCTTGGCTATGTGAGCCTTATAATCCAGCACTGGGGAGCATGGAGAGGAGGGTCCCCGGGACTTGAGTGTTCTCAGGAGGGTCACTGGCCAGCCAGCCCAGCCTAAGTGTCCTCCTTCTGCTTCAGTAAGAAATCCTGTGTCAAGGCAGTAAGACAGGAGACATCCTGCGCTGGCTTCCTTATCACACAGAGACACATATCACATACCCCATGTGGTACCACCCCCACATACATGCAAATTCTTTTGGGAGGGGGCATTTATTTGTATGAGTGTTTGGTCAGCATGTGTGATATGGGCCAGGTTGGTGTCTGGAGGTTAGAAGAGGGTGCTGGATCCCTGCAACTGGATACAGTTGGTTTTGAGCTAAGTGAGGGGAACTGAACCTGGATCTTCTGCAAGAACAGGTGCTTCTAAGCACTGAACCATTTCTCAACCCTGACACAATGTTGTTTAAAAAAAAAAAAACACCTCAGGAGAGTTGGAGAGACAGTTCAGAGGTCAGGAGTACTTGCTGCTCTTCCAGAGGACCTGAGTTCCCAGGACACACATCAGTCACATCCCATGGCCCACAACTGCCTGGAACCCATGTTCTAGAGGACCCGAAGCTTTCCTCTGAGTGCAGACACAGATAGACACACAAATAAAAATAAACGTTTTTCTTTTAAAAAGACACCTCAGGCAGGATTCAATCACTTCTAATTAGTTAAAATCGTGTCAGCTTTCTACTATGATAAAGTCCATAAAACTTATTTAGCAGTGTTATTTTCCCCTCCCTACATTATTGTGGCAAGATCAAAACAGAGTCTCCCATTTCTATTCTGGGACTTGCCTGAGTCACAAGGTAGTCTTGGCAAATCACTCTGCTCTCTCTCTCAATTTACTGAGGCTGCTTGGGAACCTCAACTGCCAGCCAAACTAGGTCCAAAAGTCCCAAGTTACGTGGTGGATGTGGTTTAAGGATAGGAATGCATTACTGCAACTGGATTTCCTACAGACCGTTGGGGGGGGGGCATTTTACTTAATTTTAGGGCTCGTAGAAAGGGCAGACTTTACAATACAGCTAGCAATCCCAGTGTTTGTATAACATGCATTTTCAACTCAAGACACCCTCTCCGCATTCCTACTACATATGGGTACCCCAAACCTCAAATGTGAGTAAAGGAATGTGACTGACCTGACCTTGGCAAAGTACAGTTTAAATACATACATATGGTTAGAGTTGTTTCCAATATTCTTACTTGTGCTGCCAATGTGCTCTTAAATGCCTCCTGCTTTTGTAATCAGCATCCTCTCTCACTACTGCTCTGGGCTTTAGCCCTAATCCAGCCCACTCCGCGATGCCTTCTGACACAATGGCTCTGTACTCACAGACGGAAAAAAGAAGAAAAGCTCTGGGGATGCAGTCGTGCAGGTCGCAAATGGATCTGCTGCTCTAAGCAAAGCCTGAACCTCTCGTCATTCTTGACTTGGCTGAGTTCCTCTCTTGGCTCAGGGTTAGTGATCTAGTATGGTCTAGGAGGCTTAGGACCCAGGGGGCGCCTTTCAGCTGACAAACACCTCGGCTGCAGCAAGCTAGCTGGGAAGCTCCCAGTTCTAAAGAGAGGCTGTTTACCAGAAGAGCGAGCATAACAAGGGCCGGTCTCACTGCAAGGCTGGGAACTAGGAGGCAAAACTGCTGTCAAGGAGACCCCATTCGGACACTGGCTGTTCAGTCACCTGCAAGCCGGAAGAGGCAAGGATGCTGTTGGCAGCGGTACATATATTTCTTCTCAGCACCATGCTTCTGGAAGGAGCCTATGGATCTGGAGGTGAGATTACATTGTTTTTTTTTTTTTTTTCTTTCTGCAGCAACTTAATGAAGCAGAACGGGTAGAGCCCCCCGATTTCCCAAACGTGGCTAGGCTGACAGAGAAGGAAGCTTTTGGCTGTTTTCTTGTTATCCTACAAAAGCTCTTCTTCTCCCCTCTCTCTCCTTCCTTGCCAGAGGCTTGCAGCTCCATCTTTGCCATTAAGAACAAAGACAAGTCACTTTCTCTTCCCTTTTCCGTGTGCATGAGTGGATGGAGCTTGGTCCCCAGAGTCCTGCCCTTTTAAAGTCCTTTTGCTTGATGTGGCAGGCGCACAGACCTCCTCCCCTCTCCAGCTTCCTCCCGTGGCTCTCCGCTGAGGGGAGTGGGAGCTGAAGAGATGTGGCAGATTCCCTCAGCTGAAGTCTCAAATGATTGGCTTCACTAAATCAAAGGCTTTTGTGGAATTCTCTTGGGAGCTGGTGGTGTCTGTTAAACTAGCAGAAGGTGGCCGTACCCGCGGAGAAGGGAACATCAGTTTATATAACATGGACTTCTCAACACTGGGATGACTTCCAGGTCTGACTGCCCAGAATCAAAATCTCCACAGACCGACTTTAGCCAGCCCTCCGGCACCTCCACAGCGGCCCCAAATCCAAGAGTAACAACACCTTGCACCTGGGTAGGCTTCAAAAAAAAAAAAAAAAAAAAAAAAAAGCTAAATCTCTGAGTGTTGCCTGTGACCGGACGCCGCTAGGGGCATGACAGGAGTTCCCACTTTCACTCTGAGGTACACAGGGCTTTCCACCCCACGAGGCCAGAGAGCCGCACTCAAGGTCCCGGGCGGGTTGCTCTTCCTCACAGGCTGCTTCTGGGACGGCGGCCACCTGTACCGAGAGGACCAACCGTCGCCCGCGCCGGGTCTCCGTTGCCTCAACTGGCTGGCCGCGGAAGGCGGCCGCGGGTCACCCCCCGAGCCCAGTGAGTGTCCGCCCGGGAGGCGGGCGGGGTTGGAGGGCGGCGGCCAGCGGTCCCTGACGTCTCTTCTCTCCGCCTCAGGCCCCGGCAACCACAACTACTGCCGGAACCCGGACCAGGACCCGCGCGGGCCCTGGTGCTACATCAGCAGCGACACCGGCGTCCCTGAGAAGCGGCTTTGCGAAGACGTGCGCTGTCCAGGTACCCGCCCTGGATCCCGGGGGAGAGGACGCCAGCCCCCCGGGCGCGAGGCAGCGGCGGTTGCACCCGCCTCGCACGTGCGGCCGCACGACGCCCGCCCCGCCCCGTCCCACCCCCGCGCCGTCTGATTGGTCAGAGCTATCTCCAGGCCGCGGAGCCCGAAGCTCATTGGCCGCCGCGGCATTCGGAGTGAGCTCATCCTCCGCGAGCACTTGTAAACAACGGTGGGAGGCAGCTTGCTTCTTCAGCGAAGCGCAGCACCAGCTTTTGCTGTGTGTAGTGTCTGCTGTGAGCTAGACACCGTGCTCACACTTCTCCGGGAAGAAGCAGTGTGAGGGAACTGAGTCACCCAGAAGTTCGGAGACCTGCCAGAGGCTGTGGGGGTATCCGGATTTGTATCCAAAGCTTTTAGGCTTAAGATAACTAAGACAGTTCTCTAGGAATAAATGCAATTATTCGTGCCCTTAACACTAATTGGCACGAATCTTGCGCTCAGTGTGGACTGTCTCCTGACGTGAAGGCTGTGTCTGTGGCGACATCCTCCAGCAAATCCAACTGGGGTGTTGGAAGATAGTAAGGACTTGAAGAGACAAGTGAGAGGCAGGAGAGAAGTTGTTCCTGAAGATGCTTTCCTCACATTTGCCTTGTACCACATCCCCTCCCTTTCAGGCTTCATTTTGCCCCTGGGGCAGGCAGGGGAGTTGTTTTTTCCTTTCTATTTTTGAGACACGGTCTCACTGTGCAGCTCTGCTTGACCTGGGACTCACAGAGATCCTCCTGCCTCTGCCTCCGGAGTGTGTCAATTCAGGTGTTCGCCACCACGCCTGACCGGGGACAGGCTTTGGTTTCAGTCTAGCAGAGCATTTTAGGGTGAACCCCTTCCCATAATGCCCCCAGCAATCAGGTCAGGTTCAGCTGTAGAATGCACTCCGGGCAGTCTCTGATGAGAGCTTCTTCTCACCTCAGCTCCAGAGACGGCTTCCCAAGCACCACCAGCTGCTACAACCGAGCTGGAAGAGAAGTCTGAGGCTCCAGGTGACAAAGAGGCACAGGTGTTTCCTCCTGCTAATGTCCTGCCAGCCAGGAGCGAGGCAGCAGAGGTGCAGTCAGTGATTGGCATCAGTCAGCGCGTGAGGATGAATTCCAAGGAGAAGAAGGATCTGGGAACTCTGGGTAGGGTCGCCTTGGTTGGGATTCATCAGATGACGTCATTTGCTGATTGTCTGGGGTGTGGCTAATAGGACCTTGTGTCCTGTCCCCCGCAGGCTACGTGCTGGGCATTACTATGATGGTGATCATCATTGCCATCGGAGTTGGCATCATCCTGGGCTACACTTACAAGAGGTGAGTCTTTTCTCTTCTTGGCTCTCTCTAAATAGGGCTACAGAAGAGACACAATGTCATATTGGCTTCTAGGTGTCTTTCCAAAGGAGAAGGAAAACCCAGCTCAGGAGCAGAGATCTGGTTTTCATCACTGCCAGGTGACCTTAGACAACTAGGGCAAGGACTTAAATACTGACACCCCCCTCCCCCGACGCCCAGGGTCTCCATCTGTAGCTCAGACTGGGCTTGAAGGAGTAGTCTCAAACTCATAATCCTCCTGCCTCCACCTCTTGAGTAGTGGGATTTATGAGCACATGTCACCATGCTCTGAAGGAGACTAGATTCATTTTTGTCAAATTTTAAAATTCTGCTACTACACCGGGCGGTGGTGGTGTATGCCTTTATCTCAGCACTCAGGAGGCAGAGGCAGGCAGAGCAGATCTCTCTGTGAGTTCGAGGTCAGCCTGGTCTACAAGAGCTAGTTTCCAGGACAGGCACCAAAGCTACAGAGAAACCAAAAAAAAAAAAAAAATCTGCTACTAAGATGGGTGCAATGATGTATATCTGCTATAATCCCAGAATTCAGAAGACTGAGGCAGGGGGTTTACAAGTTTGAAGACTGTGAGACCCTGTATCAAGAAGAAGAAGAGGAGGGAGAAAAAAAAAAGTCTTTTTTTTTTTTTTTTTTTTTTTCTTTTTCTAGGCAGGGTTTCTCCGCGTAGCCCTGGAACTTAGGCTGTAGACCAGGCTGGCCTCAAACTCACAGAGATCCGCCTTCCTCTGCCTTCTGAGTGCAGCCGCCTGGCTAAGAGTTATTTTTCTTTTCTTGAGTTTTTGTCTGTATATAATGAATGTCTGTGCACTCCATGAGCACTTATTGCCTAGGAAGGCCAGAGAGTGGCTCTGAATTCCCTGGACCTGGAGTTCCACACAGTGAGCTATCCTGTGGGTGCTGGAAATTGAACCCTGGGTCCACTGGAAGAACAGTCAGTGCTCTTAAGTGTTGAACCACCTCTCCAGCCCTAAGACACTGTCTTTAATCTCAGCAGGCAGACGCTGAATTGTGAGTGAGGCCATGTGTCAAAACAAAACATTCTGCTACTGGGAAGGTTCCTAGCTCCTGGTCTTGCAGTCTCACAGTTGGGGCTTAAAATTTCCTCAGTGGGATGTCTTTAGTGAAGAGAAGAAAGGTGACAAAAGAAACCCATCGCCACTCCTTATCCCGTAGGGGAGTACAGGAGACTACTTGAGAAGCGGGGACACACTTGCAGCTGGAGGGCAGGAGGAATGCTTGTTTTGAAAGGTCTCCTGACAAAGCCCCATGGGGCAGGTCTCGTAATCAGTGATGTGTGGTTCTGAGTCCAAACTGTTGTTACAGGGCTGGCTGTTGGACAAAACAGGGTATCTGACTTCCAGCCCCGAGGATCAGCTGTATTTCTCTGACCCAAAAGCCTTCCCTATAAAGGAAGTGATACAGCGGACTGCATTGTCCAGCAGTGAGAGCCACTGTCTGAGTCATATCAAAGTGCCTCTCAGCCATCATTTTATAAGCCCAGGGTATTCTTAGAGGTTCTGAGTTCAGCCCAATTGCAGACTGAAAAGGAAGTGTGATAATTACCACAGCAACCACAGATGTCACCTGCTGTTTCTGCTTCAAACGCATGGCTCGCCTCAGCTTCACCTTTTGTTTTGAGACAAGGTAGTTCAGGTTGGCCTTGAATTCACTGTAAAGCAAAAATTGACTTTGAGCTCTTTGTTGATTTCATTCACGGTGGTGGTGGTGGTGGTGGTGGTTTTTTGGTTGTTTCCTTTTTGGAGACAGGGTCTCACTATGTAATAATTCTGGCTGGCATGGATCTCTCTGGGTAGATCAACCTGGCCTTGAAGTCACAGAATCCTTGAGACAGGGTTTCTCTGTAGCTTTGGAGCTTGTCCTGGAATTCACTCTGTAGGCCAGACTGGCCTCGAACTCACAGAGATCTGCCTGGCATGCGTCACTATGGCCCCACATGGCTTCTTGAACTTTGAATCCTGCTTCCTCCCCATTATGCTCATAGTCGCGTTTATGAAACAAATGCTGTTCTTCCCAGTTTTCTGAGGAAACTTGAAACAAGAAAAAGTAGGTGCCTTGCCTGTGGCTTCACATCCAGAATATGGTAGAACAGACTGCCATCTGGGTGACCGGGCAGGTTGTTTCTTGTTACTAGTCCAAAGCATTCCTGGGGGGCAAATGTGTTAGCTCAGTGCACAGCACCTGGGAAATGGTTCCTAGTCCTGTTGTGCTTATCTATACAGTGTGGGTACTTGATGAGTTATTCACTTTTCATTAGGTGGGGTGTTCGAGATGATAATGACCCTGCAGCTCTGATGTTTCTGAGGAGGCACTGTTGACTGGATTGGTTTAAATCCCAGCTCTTCCACTGGCCTGAACAGATGGCTTTGCTGGTTTCTCTGATTGTTCATGAGTCAGAGAGCAGAGAGGTTGTTCTGGGAGCATCCATCCCAGACTGAGGCTGTGTCCACAGAAGGACTGCTGACGTGCCGGTCCAGGGACACCTGCTTGTTCATTTAAAAAGTGAAGAAACAGAGTAGTTGCTTTGCCGGTACAAGCCATTGACCCAGACCATGCACTGAGCCCTGAAATACTCCCCTCTTCCTCAGCGTCTGGTAGCATTTGGCTGCCATTCAATCTGTGACAGTTTCCAGACCTTCCAGGTGCTCAAAGTAACTGCTCTTTCTTTTCTTTTTAAAGTAACTGCTCTTAATTCCAAGCCCAGCTGGTGCCCAGTGGAGAAACCAGGTCTTATTTCTTTTGTCTTACTCTTTTCGACTGTCATGGGACTGCCATGTGACCTTGAGATTACTTTCCTGTAAACTCGGGGGAAGGCAGTAAGTCACCAGACTGTCACTAACCTCGGACCACCCTTTTCCTTAGCAAACATGTTCTGAGAACAACCTGTTCAACAGGAAACCACATGTGGGTTAGAAACAAGCTCTGAGCCTCCATCTCCTCACAATTAGGGGACAGATGTCAGGGCAAGAGCTGGAAGGTGAATGCCTTTTCAGGCAGCCTTTGCTTGGTAGATATCGTGCCTGTTAAGTGGGGATATTTCTCCCCATACATCCGGTTATCCACAAGTGTTGTTAAACATTGTAACAGCAGGATGATAATCAGATAGAAATCACAGCATCAGCTCTTTGTTTCATGCTTTCTTGGTAAGTCAGGCCCTGCTGTGCGCCTTTCTCTGCTCTTGCCCAAGGCTCTTCCTAATGAGGAGCCCAGGCCTAGAAGAGTTAAAGTACCAGGTGCTAGGTTCTCAGACTAGACCATGTGTTCTTGTTATGTGTGTGTTCCTTGTTTTGACATAGGTTCTCACTGTGTAACTCAGGCTGGCTAGGAACTCTCTCTCTCATTTATATGTGTGGATATTTTGCCTGCATGTATGTCTGAGCACCATGTGCGTACCTGGAGGGTTGTGAGTTGCTATGTAGTTGCTGGGAATCAAACCTGGGTCTTCAGAAAGAGCAGCAAATGCTCTTTCCTGCTTAGCTGTCTCTCCATCCATGGCCAGGAATTCTTGGTCTTTATGCCTCAGCTTTCCTGAGTGCTGGAATTTATGAAGCATGAACCACCATGCCTGGCTGTCGATTATCTTCAGAAAGTCCAGCAAAGCCCAGTAGCCTCATTTAAATTTGAATTTCTCAGGACAGTAGGAAAAAGTGAAACTTTTCAAAGAATGACTGAGTTTGGAAAGCAAAAGAAACAAGATCTTGTTCTGGAATTCCCTCCACTTGTGGACGCCACACACTAAGCACATCATTTACCTTTTGTGGGTCCCAGCTTACTCCCCAGGTAGGGCGTGAGCTCTGATGACCTCCCAGCATTGATATTTCTGTAGAGGAAACTATTGCTTGGTTTAAATCCCAGTTCTGCTCTTGGTTTACACTTCCCTCCCTCCCCACCCCCTTCTCAGTCTTTTCAGGTCTGACATGATAATAGAGGGCACATGGGTCTCAGGAGGATGGAATCAGGGTGCTTTGGGTGTACAGTAGCCACCTTGGTGGCACAGAGCAGCGGGGTGGCACAGCATCGCTTCTGACTCAGAAAACAGCAGCAGCTCAGAGTAATCTCTGAAGAAACCTGCACTGCCTCGAAGAGGCTCCGTTGTTTCCATAACCCTGGGGTAGGAAGCCAGAGGCAGGTAGCAGCTCTGTTTCCTCTTCTCTCTGGCCAGCCCAGCTTGCACTGGCCCCAGAGCAGTCAGGATAATTCCTGCAAGTCTTGAACTCTGCAGGCCATGGACTTGGCTGATGGAGGGAGCTTTCCAGAGCTGGGAAGGGTAGGCAGGCACCAGGCTTCCTCCTGCGAGGAAGAGCTAAAGGTGGGGGTAGAAAGGAACTGTTTGGCTGGGTCTTTGTCCTTGTAACTCTGGCCACGAGGTGGCTAAGCCCTTGGCTGGGGTAGCTCCCTGTCCCTGCTGAGTGCTGTCTTAGCTCTGCAGGGAGCTCTTATTCTCTGATAAAAAGGGAGGGAAACAGTAAGTCAACACCATTTCACCCCCTTGGGAGAGAAGCTGAGTCGGTGAATAAGCCTTTGTTCTATCTTGGCAGCCCGACAACAGCCCGACTTTCTCACCCACCCCCACGGCAGGGAGACGGTTCTGGGCCACCTAATGGTCAGTTTAGCAGGCCTGGCAGCATCAGCTACTTCATCTCCAGGATTCCCAGGCAGGACTCAGCAGGCACGTGGGGTCAGGCATGCTTCCAGGTTCCTAAATGGATGAGGCCAATCTAGACTAGGCACACTGTCTGCTTCCTTTACCCCAGATTGCCTTTCCAGCCCTGCTTTCCCCATGAATAGAAATAATCTCCCTCCCCCCCTCCGGCCCTGCGCCTCCCAGACTTGTGTGTGATGAGGCCGGACAGGGACAGTTACCAGCTGCTAGCAGGCTACAGATACATGCTTCATAAGCGAGGGAGCGGAGGAAAGCAAGGCTTCTTCATGTAGGCAATGGACACTGCTTGCGTAAAGTGTGTGGCATCCATCAAAGGTGTAGTTGTGCTCTTTTGCTGGGTGATAGGACACCCTTGGTACCTTGGCTAGGTATTTTGGAAGTCATGGGTTCCTGGCTTGCCTTCTTCCTCCATCCTTCTTGTAGACTTTGAATTTTAGCCTCTGGCAAAAGATACTTGAATTTTCATTTTTGCAAATCGCTGCTAGCTTAGGGAGGAGGATCCCTTACCAAAATTAAACCCAGACCTTCCAAATGTTTCCATTCACGAGCACTCTTTTAGAACGTGGCTTTTTATTATGCAGATAGCGGTCAGCCACCTCCACGGGTGACTCAGGGTTTGAGGAAGGGAGTGGTTATTGTAGAGGACCCCCTCTTCATGAATCGTGTACCTATCTTTGCCTGAGGTGCTCCGGGAGGTTTTCTGCTGTGGGAACTGATCCCCAGGACAGATGCTAATGAAAGAGTGGGTTAGGCTGGGCTTACATGTTGAGAGACTTGGTTGCCCCATGCCATAGGAAGATGAGCTTACTGACCTCCTGTGACCTTCCATTTGGGATCAGAGCATATCTCAGGTGGACGACTCTTCCAGAATATCCAGGGTTCTGAAGATTATTACGTCCCAAATAGGCTGAGCAGGATCCACAGCAGAGAGACGTGGCTAATTAAGAGTCCCGAGGCCTCTGCGCACTTGTCTCCTCCAGTACTCTGTTCTCCAGCTTTTCTCATTGTACATCACTTGACGGATGCAGACTACAGCGGATCAGAGCTATGTCCCTGAGATCTGAACCAGGCTCCCGTGCTGCTTTTTGTTTTGTTTCAGCTGGAGGGCAGGGCAGGGCAGGGCAGGGCAGGGCAGAGCAGGGAGCAGGTTCTCCTGGAGGGAAGCAGCCCCTACTCTGCTTGCCTGGGATAAGTGGGGTCCACAGCACACAATGGGCAGGTCCGTCTTGGAGATGTAGCCGTCCTTGTTGACTGGCGTGGATGCCTTCTTGTGCATTACTCTTGGGGGTCCACATCTCCTTCCCATTCTCCAGCACCATGTTGAGTGCCTGTTGAAGGCCTTCGCCTCGCCCAGGGCCTTCTTGTTTCAACTGTTGATGAACACCAATGTGGTGGTTTTTCTGTTTGTTTTTCGAGACAGGATTTCTCTGTGTAGCTTTGTAGCCTATCCTGGAACCCGCTCTGTAGACCAAGCTGGTCTCGAACTCAGAGATCTTCTGCCTCTGCTTCCAGAGTGCTGAGATTAAAGGCGTGCGCCACCACCGCCCAACTCAGTGTGGTGTTCTTGAGCGACTGCATGAGCAGAGAGAGGACCTTTGTTGACTTTCTCATCCTCCCACTTTCGCAGTCCCTCTGGGGGTGATCTCACTCTTGAGTTTATTGAGACTTGTGGTGGAAGTTTCACTCAAAGATCACTCCCTCCTCCGTTGCATTGCTCTGGCCTCTACCCCAGAGTCCTGTGTTTATCACCCACTTAGTTCATATCTCCTTCAGATAGTTTCCCTGGCAGCTGAGCCTAAGTTGTTGGCTTCAAAGGATCTGCCCGGGCTCTGTACTGGTTCTGGCACGCAGTCTATTGGAGTGTGTGTGTGTGTGTGTGTGTGTGTGTGTGTGTGTGTTGGCGGGTGGGCAGGGGTCCATTGGAAAGCGTCATACATGTCCATTAAGAAGACCTAAGTTTGCCAGGTGGTTGGTGGTGCACGCCTTTAATCCCAGAACTTGGGCAGAGGCAGGCAGAGCTCTGTGAGTTCAAGGCCAGCATGGCCTAGAGTGAGTTCTAGGACAGCCGAGGCTACACAGAAAAACTCTATCTCCAAAAACAAAACAAACAAAAAAGACCTAAGTTTGAATCCCTGTATCACTGTGCCTTAGGGGCTGACTCTTAACAGCAGTCAGTGCACAGTAAACTTGTTGGAGCCTATCCTGCATCGTTGGAGCATCCCTTAAATGCACTGGGCCATTTCTTTGTTTATAGAATGAACAAGAACTAAGTCTTTGGGCTGAACTGAGAATGACGTGAGATGATCTGTACATACATACGTACATAATACACACATCCATTCATCCCCGGCAAGGCGTGAGTCGTCTATGTAAGCAGAGCGACTCTATGGCTCAGATGAGTCACTAAGTATCAGGAGGAATCCTAGGCAGTGACTGAGATGTTTGATAGCCATTTTCGTTGTATTCTCTTGCTTGGTGCAGCCCTGAATCCTTTTGTCTCTGCATGGGTTGGGAATAGTTCACTGCCAGCCTGGGCTCCCACTTTTCAGGACTAAAGGATGACAAGGCAGTCTTTGAAACACACAAACTTGTTTTGTGGTGGAGAGGAGCATGCCTGCTCCTGCAGTTGTAGATGTCAGATGTCAGCTTGAGATGGATTCTTCTGAACTCACGTCATCAGGCTTGGTGGTAGGTGCCTTTACTGGCTGAGCCATCTCACCAGCCCAAGAAGGCAGTCCTGTAGCAGGGTGGGCTGCTCCGTTTTCTGGACAATTTCATTGGTTAGGGATGAAGCTAGGGTAGGTCTTTAGGTTTCTGGGACCCCTGGGCTGGAAACAAAGGCCTGCTTTCTTTCAGTTCCTTCTACACTATCCCCACTGAGTCTCATGCAGCAGCCACCCCACCTTACAGTAGGGGATCAGAGACAAGAGCCGGCAGCAAGGCCTTATGGAGTTTAAGGCGGCCAGGAGGACGGACTAGCCAGTGTTAGTCCTGGCTTGGTCAGGTGATTCGCTGTCACCAGGGCGAGCTCCTGCTCAGGCTTTGGTAAAGTTAATTGAGCACAATTTGAGTGTTTTTTTTTCCTGACAGGGGGAAGGACCTGAAAGAGCAACATGAGCAGAAATCATGTGAGCGGGAGATGCAGCGAATCACCCTGCCCCTGTCTGCCTTCACTAACCCTACCTGTGAGATCATGGATGAGAAGACCATTGTCGTACACAGCAACCAGACTCCCGCTGACCCTCAGGAGGGCAGCACCCTCCTTGTGAGCCACGCTGGCACCCCTGGGGCCTGAGCCCCTTCAATGGGCAGGAGCCCATGAAGACACTGGTACAGGACAGGCCACACTCTTGCAGCTGGGAGGAGCTATATTTTGTGTTGTGGTTAAAACCCTATCCCATTTTTCTTTTGAGCGGGAGACAAGACTCCTCATGACACAAGCAGAAGCAGGGAGCATTATGGGTGAGTGTGAGGAGGCTGGGTAGGGTCCCTCAGTGCTCCTTTGCTATCCCTTGGAGTGGACTTGCCCCTGGATAGCGACTGCCACAGTGGTGCTGTGGCAAATAAGGGCTTCCACATTGCCTGACCCAGGGAAAGACAGGGAGCTGGCGAGGCTCCTCTATGCTGTACACCTAAGGTGGCCTCAGTCTCTGCCTTTCCATTCGTCACCCAGGAACTTGAGTGGCGTATACTGTTATTCATAGTTAAGGTCAAACAGGTCGTGCACGAGGCAGCATTTATATATATAGTATTTGGGATGGAAGGTCCCTTCTGACTTCTGAGAACCAGAAGTGAATTTGTACACGAGTCAGAACTTGGGCTGCAAATGGGTTCTGGATGAGGGCTGCTGGGCGTGCTCCAGCTTGCTGGTAGTGTTGTGCCTTGACAACTCTGGGCCAGGCCTGGGCCCAAGGGACTCTTCCTGCTCTGTAAGGAAAGAAAGGGAAGAATTGCACTAAACATTCCGCTGAGGAAGACACACAAGGGCCTGCTTCTGCCTCCAGCTTCAGACTTTGGTATCCAGATGGTCTCTCTCCATTTTGTGCTGATAAGAGAATAACCAGTCCACCCATGGGAATTACACATATCAGCGTCTGTGAACCTAGAGTAGGCCCAGAGGCTAGGTAGCAAAGGCATGGAGGGGCTTGCCTTCACAATACATCTTGGCTCACAGGCAGCCTGATGGCCTCCAGGCCAGTGCCTTCCATAGGGCTAGGATTGCAACCTATACAAAACAATCACTGAAGCACTGGGAAGGACCTTATGGGGTTCCAAGTTTCAGACACAGGGTCTCCAGAGAGGGAAAAGTGTCTGCATCAAAGCAAAATCTGGATGGCCAGGGGTGCCCAGCTTCCTGGCCTGGGCAGTGTTCCCCAACCAGACGCCCTCTACCGCCCACCACAGAGAGGGGTGGGTGCGGCCCACTCCCTTCCCCGGGCCGCTCTCTGGAGCCATCTGTTGAGGGGGCCTAGACCTCAGGGTTCCCATGGTGGAACTGACTATGGGAAAGAGAAGAGTACTACTTCCGACTTTTCTATGAAAGTATTTCTCTGTGTATGTTTTATATACCTCATTCTGACACCTGTGTATGAACTGTGGGAAACTGCTCTGCATTTGACTTATATAAACACAAAACACAACTCTGCTTGCCACGTTTTTGTAGTGCCAGGAATGCTCCCCGAGTACCAATCCATACTTCTGCCTTCTTGATCACTGTGGCCCAGTCACTGGGAGGTAGTAATGGCTGAACTGCTACAAACTTCAGCCCCCGCACCGACTGTCAAGGCCGCCATAACATCTTAAGGTTGAAGCGGCAAGTTGATCCCTTTATGTCTTCTCTCCTTTAGTATTCTTTCCAACGTAGAGGACTTAGGATGGATCCTCCCAAAATCTTTTGTTGGGGACTAGAAACAAAGGGGCAGTTGGCAGTCCCACAGCAGCCAAAGGAGAAATCACTACCTGGGGCTGAGGGTGGTTCTTGCAGGTTAGGAGGGAGGCTCCTGGGGTGGGGTGGCTAGGTAGTGTGTGGGGTATTTCTTCAAGTTTCAGCAGTGGACTCAGCAACAGGTCAAGTTCTAGGTATATCAGAGCAGGGTGACCTTGCCCATGTTCAGCCATTGCTGTTTTTAGATCATCAGTGTTTACTAGGGACTAGATTCTGCCCGTATTCTGCATCCTTCAGCTTCATAATACTTAGGTGAATTTAGGTTTATAGAAAAAAAATCTGGCTGTTGGCCTGACACTCACTAGGTAGGCTAGGCTGGCCTTGAATTCATGGGGATTCTCAAGTGCAGATGTGTAAACATACTGTAACACCAGGTGGAAGTTGTAGGTTTGTGTTTGTGCACAGGACCTCACAACAGTAGCATCATTTGCTCCAGCCTCTGGTGTAGAAGCCTGGAAGCAGGTCCCTGAGGACTGGGCCAGCAGCTCAGAGCCTAGCCTAATAGCCCTGTGGTGGGACTAAAATGAGGCCACTGACCTGCTCCACAGAGAAGGCTACCTCAAGTGGATGTGCATGACCTCTGAAGGTTTGCTGTCCAGGGGAGGGGATTCAACTTGAGACTGAGAATTCCCTAATGTGAGCACTTATGTGGCTTGGATCTGGAGGTGGGCAGACGAATGTTTCTTTAAAAATTTTTAAACAAAATTTGATATGTGTATCTGTACCTGGGAATATATATGTGCACTGCATGTGTGCAGGAGCTCAGATATGAGAAGAGGTGCTGAGTGCCCCCAAAACACCCATCATGTGTGTGCTGGGAACCAAACCTTGGTCTTCTGCAAAAACAGTAACTGCTTTTAAGGGCTTACTATCTCCAACTCCTCCAGGCCCTGAATTACTTTTCCACTCTCAGCGCCTTCGCTATGTTAACCGCTTAATTTATTTAGTCTGCTTCACGGCCCAGCTCAGGCCCACCACTCCCACACTTGCTGGGGACAGTTCAAGCGTAACCAGTTGCAGGATGCTGAACCATGCTGGGAGTTCAGGACTCCCCTACAGCAAGTTTGCAAACTCCACACACAAGGACAGTCCACACAGTAAGTAAAGTGACCAAAGATGACTTCCCACCCCACAGTTCATCTTGTCTATGTACAGTATTTCACATGTCACCCAATAGAGAAAAACTAATAACAGCAACCACTCTCCAGATCCCCTTACCAGTACAACCCACCACACATTGTATTTATAACCAAACCCACTCCCAGTTTGTCAAATACGGTGTGAGCTGGAGAGTCCCTGGACACCTGGCAGCCAGGGGTGGAAGGTACCCTGAGGGTTTCCAATGCCCGTGGCCCTGAAGTGTGGCTCAGGAAGCAAGAGCTGGGCCCGCAACAAAGGAGGTAGAATCAAGAGGGCCCAGCTCAGGGAACTCTCTTCGTATCTCAGCTTTGGGACTCAACAGCCACCAGTTTCTGTCCCAAGTTGCTGCCTGGAGTGGACAGGCTAGAGATGTGTAGTAGCTGCCACAAGGATGCCAAGAAATTGACGGGCCTCCCCTTTCCCTGCTTAGACCCAAAGTCTGAGACAGACCACATGGCCTCCAGAACCCATCTAGCATCGGACTGAGCCCACCAGCCAGGATATGGGGCTTTTTAAAGAGCAGGACCTCCTTCTCTCCAGCCCCAGCTTCTTTGGTGCTTTTGTGAGTGGCTGCTTGTTGAGACAGGAGGACGTTGAAGTGGAAACTCCCACACACTGATGTGGTCCCTGGGCCGGTGAGCAGAACCAGTCCTTTTTCTGGATCCTGTGGATTTTGCCACATACTAAGAGATTCTTGAGAACCTGCTCCAGAGGGCAGGGCCTGGAGTGGAGGAGGAATCACTCTGCCACTTGGCATGCTTTGAAGGCTCTCGGTTGTCACTCAAACTACTGCTTGAAGTTCTGCACCTTGCTGGACCAGACTCCAGAGCCCTCAGGCCAGTTCATCTGTCATCCTGCCCAGCAGGCCCAGGCCATGTTGATTAGTGTAAAGCTACAGCCTCCCAGAATCTCACTGCTGCAAAGGTCCCAGGTAGTCCCTAGTAACAGACTGGTCTAGAATCCAGGCTCTCTTTATCTTCTTCACAGCTTTCAGGCGAGTGTTGGATTTACAGAGAGTAACCAGGCCCAGCACCTGTGGAGAACTGTTTCCCTGCACCCGCATGCCTCCTGGGGAGGTAGTAGGGATGGCTTATTCTGCTTCTAAGCAAGCCGTCAATCCACAGGAAGCCTAGACAGTCCTGCTCCTAGCAAGGACAGGGCGCAGAGGGGGCAATGCTGGCTGTGGAATGTCCCCCTGCAGGGGGATGGACCAGGGTTAGGGTGGTGAGTCCCGGGTCAGGCCGTACTCCATGCTCACAGTGTGGTCCAGTTCTTCCAGCTCTGCAGGCAGTGGGATGGCTAGCTCTCCCAAGTACAGAGACAGTGCCTCAAAGGAGTCTTCCAGCTTTGAGAATGCCGGTCTACAAAGAAAAGGGATGACAAGAGAAGAGAGGGAGCCTGTGAGCATCGAGGGGAGGACACAGGGCTGGCTCTCAGCTGTTTCCTGGGTCTATGAGCCCTTTAACCTCTTGCTGTAAATATAAAAGGTAACGCTATGAGACGTCTAGCCAGGCTAGAGGTCCTGGCCTAGGACAAAAACATCCACAGGGAAAAGAAGCCCTTTCATGTCTTCTGAGTAGAGGCGATAATCAAAGGTTAGATTGGACTTTTGCACTTACTAAGCGAATGTGGTGATGTGGCCCAGCTGGTACCATCCACAAAGCCCCGAGTTCAATTCTCAGCATATTAACGGGGCATGGTAGTCCTAGCATGGGGGAGGTGGAGGCAAGAGAGCTGGAGGTTCGAGGTCATTTTCAATTATATATCTAATTTGAACCAGTGTGGGCTACATGAGACATGATCTCAAAAACAAATCTGCAAACAGAAAGATTGTGAGGACCCCAAAAAGAACATGTGTCAGGGATGGGAAGAGCTCTATCACCAAGCTGCATCCTTGGCTCCTGTGGTGGATACAGTGAGCTCACACAGGCTCATGTCTGATGAATTGTTCCGGAAGGATTAGGACGTGTGGCCTTGCTGGGGCAGGTGGTGTGTCACAGGGCTTTGAGGTTTCAAAAGCCCAAGCCAGACCCTGCTGTGGATCAGATAATGCTCTAGTGCCATAGGTCTACCTGCCTGCTGCCACAATCCCCTCCATGATGACATGGACTCTGACACCATCAGCAAAAACCCAGCTAAGTGCTTTCTTTTATAAGTTGCCTTGGTCATGGTGTTTTGTCGTGGCAACTGAAAAGTAACTTAGGCAGCTTCTAAGTCTATTTTTATTATTCAGTTAGATGCTTTATGTACAGGTCTCATGGTCCTTCTCTAGGTGCCGCCTCTTCACGTGTGTTAGGTGTGCAGCTGCCTATGTGGTACTGGGGATAGAACCCAGGGCCCTGGACATTCTAGCCAAGTGCTGTACAGGGTGATATCCTCGCCCCCTCCCCCTTTAGATAGCGCCTCACTGTAGCTCTGGCTGTCCTGGAACTCACTCCATCTTTCCCCTAATGTGGCATGTCAGAGCTGTCAGGTGGCTTCAGTGGTTAGCAGTTTACCCTCGAGCTCAAGGTTTCTGCTACTGCTTGTGCCAGGGAAGGGCGTGGGATCACTAAAGCGAGCATCTCGGGTCCTTGGGACTGTATGTTGGGAGGAAGGATGAACCACCAACCTGCTCTCAGGCTCCAGTTTGCAGCAGATAGCAGCCAGGGGGAAGAAGGCTGGGGGGCAGTCTGTTGGGACAAACTTCTCCCAGAAAAGCTTTACATTGAGGCCAAAGTCCAGTGTGCGGGGCAGGCAGTCAGGATCAGCGTACACCTGCCCGATGATCTGCAGGCGAGAAGACAGCTGGTCAGGAGGGTCTACAGAGGCCGCAGACACATGGCAGGAGAAGTAGCAAAAACCTACGCTAGAGGGCAGCCTCGTGCCCCCATCTCTCCATCTTGCTAATCCCAACCTCTCCATGCACTAGGAGTCTGGCTAATGAGGAGGGTTTAGAAGAAGCCTCCCTGCAGCAGAAGCAATGCTGGTAACTAGTACCCGAAAGCTAGAAGCTTCCATTTACCCCACCCTGTCCATATCCCTTTGTAGCTATGTCCTCTACCAGGGCAAGCTCTACAGGGTGAGGGGCTGGGTCTGATTAATGTCTGAAGTCCATTAGCAGCAGCTTAGTTTTTGGTACTGAAGGAAGTGACGGGTAAGAAACTTCCATTGTTCCACCATTGTTTGACCCTCCTCTCCCACTCATAACTTTGTAGGAGTCACAAAAGCTGTCTGATGTGACTGCTTGACCAAGTGCTTGGAGAGATACTGAGCTATGCTGCAGCCTAACTGCTGATTTTGTGGCAAACTGTTCACTTCCAGGAGAGCTCAGATCCAAGGCAGGCAGGGCCTCTGAGCCGGGGCTCACCTCACAGAGAACGATCCCAAAAGAGAAGACATCCACCGTCTCGTCGTAGCTCTTGCCTTGAGGAAGAGAAGAAAACAGGCCTAAGGTCAGGTCTCTTACCTGCTCTGTACTGGGTCAAGCCAAGCCACAGCCAAGAACTAGGGCTAGAACACCATAAAGGCATCCCGAGATGGGCATCGCTTGGAAACCATCTTTATGGTCTCGGGTGGCCTGCCTGGGGGCTTGTAACACATTCCTCAGGATGCAGCTGTATGGCAGAAAGAACTGCATCCTGGTTCAGGTTCATCCAGGCTCTGGCTGTGAGCCACAGAAAGACTGTTTCCAACAGTTTCCAAAGTCTGGCAACCCCACTGCTTTTCAAGAATGCAGGCCAGCATCCACCAGGGGGCACCACACTTCAGTTCTTGATCTGGAGAGGGGAGGCTAACACTAGAGCACTGAATGACCTGGCCCTTAGCTACCCTTTGGAGACAAAAGCTAGTCAGGTTTCACCTGATGCCCAGGATGGCATGCTGCCACAGCTGAGTCTGGAAAGAAGGAATTTATTAGGTCTGGTTTGGCCAAGGCTTAAAAGAAACCCCATCCCCTACTGAGTGTCTGTCCTTAGCAGGCTTCCCCAGCTTATGGCCCTCAATTTCCCACCAGAACTCACCATTCAGCATCTCGGGGGCCATCCAGTAGGGGTTTCCCACCACAGTGTAGCGCTTCTTGCGGTCACTCTTTCGTAAGGTGCGTTTCTTGGAGGCGGCTTTCTCTACTGGGGGCCTTTTCCTCTCTTCCACTATAAGACGTGACAGCCCGAAGTCTGCTACTACCACAGTCTTGTCCTGAACAAACAAGGGCCAGGTCAGAACTTGGGAGAACATTCTCTGGCCTGTCCCTGGGGTGTGGGCATAGGCCAGAAAGGCCACTGACAAGGGGAGTGGCTACATAGCAAAGGAGAGTCACACGGAAAGCTCTACAGAGAGGGAGTGGTTGGGCCTTTGTGGGTCTTTTCCTGGAAGTCTGATATCTGGCCACAGCAGATTCCAGGCTAAAGAGGGAGGAGCCCTGGACAGGTGGCATTCTGGGAGCCTTCGGAGTGCACTCAGGTGGGTCAGGATTTTGTCTTGTTCTTAAAAATGACTTGTGGTTTCCAGAATAGGTTAAGAGCTGTGGAATAGTTGTGAAAAAAAGGGGTAAGATTATTTTATGTTGGTTCAGAGGGAACTCAGCAGCAGAAACAACATGGGAACAACTAACTGAGGGCTGAGGGAGGAAGGCTGGCCTCAAACTGGCCACTGCAGCCTCAGATCCCGCAGGTGTCAGTGTGGTAGAATGGGGTTAGCAACTGTTTTAGGGGCCTGTTACAAGGCAAGACCCGGCAGTGGGCTAGAGCTCTACATACACACAGACAAGAAATACAACCCCTATCCCCACCAAACCTGACACACTAAATTAGTGTAAGGGGTTGAGCCCAGGGCTTTCTGTCTGCCAGACAAGCAAGCTGATCCTTTCTAATAAAATGACTTCAAGGACTGCTACCGTGTGTGTGTGTGTGTGTGTGTGTGTGTGTGTGTGTGTGTGTGAGAGAGAGAGAGAGAGAGAGAGAGAGAGAGAGAGAGAGATTGTTCCTGCATGTATGCACACATCGAGAGCTTCCAGAAAACTGCCACAGAAGCCCCAGCTCTGTGTCCCAGCTCGGGCAGGAAGGGGACGTACCAACTTGATGAGGCAGTTGTGTGAGTTCAGGTCCCGGTGGATGATGCACATGGAGTGCAGATACGCCTGCAACAGAAGCAGAGCCGTGGAGCCAGACAGACCCTGGCTCTGGACTGTGGCCAGCGAGCCTGTTCTCCCGGGCCAGGCCTGCCCAGCTTCCCCTCCCTGCCCCCAAGCCATGCTTGGGTCCCTACACCAGTAGAGAGCGGCCAGTTCCTGCCCAGGTTTCCCCTACAGTCTCCAACTCTCCTGGCCTGAGCCCCATCCTTTTTACTTAGACTGAGGCAGCCTAAAGGGAGCGTCCTCAGACACACTGCTCCTTCCTCCTCCTCCAGTGTCTGGCTTCAGCCCCTTTGGAGCTTTCCTGTCTGTGATGGGGAAGAAATGGCCTCCTGACTCACCTCCCCTGAGACTCCATCCGTCTGTCTGTCTGGACTTTAGTCCCCTCCCTCTTCCTGTCCAAGTTGTTCTAAGCTAGTTTTGCTAGACATTCTCTTGTCACTCTTAGAAACTTTTCTCTTTCTCTCCTGCCAGTGTGGAAGGTACACTGCCCCCTTCCCTAAGCCCCTGTAGACTGTCTTATTGTTTCCAGGCCCACAGAGGTCTTCCTATAACTGTACTACATGCCCTGGCTGCCTGCACCCCCACCCCCAAAGGCTGTCTATTCCTCTCCATGTTCCCCCTGACATCCCTTGTGTGTTTGAGTTTCCCTTCCAGCCTCCTCAGGGTCAGCCCTTTCAAAGTTATCTTTTATTTTTCAAGACAGGGTTTCTCTGTGTAGCCCTGGCTGACCTGGAACTAGCTCTTGTAGACCAGGCTGGCTTCGAACTCACAGAGATCCACCTGCCTCTGCCTCCCGAGTGCTGGGATTAAAGGTGTGCGCCACAAATGCCCAGCATAAAGCCATCTGCTCATGTGCTGACCACACTGCTTCAGTCTGTATACCTCTCCGTCACAGAGCTCTAGCGCCTCTTCTCTTCGGATAACTAGGTGACCACCCCCAAATTCCTGCCCAAGGCATGCTGGGATGTTCTGCTGACAGGCAACAACTGCAGCTCTCCCGATCCTGCCCCTGACCATCACTGCTTGGTAAGTGGCAGCACCATTCTAGGGGCCATGAGGCTACCCGACTGCTAGCCTTACAACCGTTCCCTCACTGCCAGCCAGTCTCTCCATTCTGACCCCACCCTGCCTCCCACTGCCATTACCTTAATTACACAAACCTGAAATGTTTCCATGGCCTCTAACCTATTCTCTCCGCTTAAGGCTTCCTCAACTCCACCCTAACACCTTGGCGAAAGCCCAGTTCTGTTCACAACATGCCCCCTCCCCGGTCTTCCTGATGATCTATAAATCTAGAATCCTTAGTAGCTGATACACATGGCTCCTTACTGCCTCCAGCCCTCTCTTCCAGACTGATACTGTGTGAGCCCCCATGTGAGGAGCAATGCTAAAACCTCAGGTGTGGAGGGGTCACTGACAAACCCAGGATCCCAACCCTGACCCTTTCTACTCCACATCTCAACTTGACACAAAGGTTATGGGAGGAATAGCCTTCCTGGGTGCTGGCCCCCGCACAGTGCCTGCCTTGTGGAAGTGCTCATTCCATCAGGACTCGTCAGCTGTGAGGACTGCAAGACTCATGCCCATGATCCACCCCATTCACCCTTCTCTCTTCCCAGTCTGCTGCTGTCATTGCTAAAACTTGGGGCCTCTTTGTCGCTAGAAACCTTAATGTACTTCTGACTCTTCAGAATTCATCTAGAACTTGTTTCTTCCTCCTCCACTTCCTATTTTCTAGGCAGTGAGGTCCTGTGTTTACTCAAGAACCCTTCGTACCCCAACAGCTCTTTGGCAGCAAGGTCAGGGTACCCTGTGCTATGATTTGCCTTGTTCATGCCTTGTTTGCCGTTAAAGAGATTTGGAATCCTTTGAGAATTAGATTGCTGGCTGAAAGGCAGTAGCTGGCCAGAATTTCCTTGGCATTGTAAGAAACTCAATAAACAGCTGCTGAACGCTGCATCCCACACAGTGGGTATCTGGCTTCCAGAGCAGTCTGTGATCCCTGCACCTCACTCTACCCACAGGCAAGGCTGGTGGTAGGACTCACCATTCCAGAGGAGATGCCTTTGGCAAACCTGACCTTCTGTTGCCAGGGGAACGGGTCCTGCAGGGTAGGAGAATGTCCGTAAGAGATGTCCTCTCCAGCTTATGGTCTGGGCTCCATGGGTCAGCACGTGTGCCATAGAAACCTTTCAGTCCCTCCCAGTATACTCCTTTGAGGGCAAAGCAAGGTCCCTGGGTAATGGGCACCGATGTCCCTCTGGTAACCCGCCAAGGCTCTTCGTGACTATGGGGCCATGTGCTCACCACGTTGCGCAGAAAGTCCTTCAGCGTGCCCCCCTCGATGTATTCAGTCAGCAGGTTTAGCTTCTTGTCCTTGTACAGAACACCAATGAACTTGAGCACGTTAGGGTGGTCTAGGCTTCGCATCACTTTCACCTGGGGAGGGGAGGGGCAGAGCATCACACAGGTGGGAGAGCCTCGCAGGTCCACCCACTGCCTTGCTTTTTTTCTAGGAGTGCTCTGGGGAGCTAGGGGAAGAGGGTCCAAGAATGAGACCAAGGCCTGTGGTGACCCGGACCACTGGTGGACCCAGCTGCAGCTACCTAAGGTGGGAGGGGCGGTATAAACTAGATGGTCATAGGATGGGGTATCTGTTCCCTGGAGTCCCACTTCAGGGTGTTTGGTGGGGATCATAACAGTATGTGTATTAACTGATGTGTTCAATCACCCCCACCACCTGAATCGCATCCTTCCATTGGCTTGTTCCGTCTTTAGTGAGCGGTCACTGAACAGAGGCACTCCTTTAGAAGGGACATTCCCCTCGGTCACTTTCCTCCTTCCCTTCTTTCTCATTTATTTATTTATTATTATTCTTTGTTTGTTTCTTTTTTGTTTTTCGAGACAGGGTTTCTTTGCATTGCTCTGGCTGTCCTGGAACTCACTCTGTAGACCAGGCTGGCCTCGAACTCACAGAGATCTGTCTGCCACTGGCTTGGGGCTCATTATGTAGACAAGGCTGGCCTTGAACTCAGAGATCTGCCTGCCTTTAAGGATGCTGGGCTAAAAGTGTGCATTATCACACCTAGATCTCCCCTCACACTTTAAAACAATGGTCGAGGGCTGGGGAGATGGCTCAGAGTTTAAGAGCCTGGCTGCTTGTACAGAAGACCCCAGTTCAATCCCTAACACTCACTGTCTATAACTCTAGTCCCATGGGATCTGATGCCCTCTTCTGGTGTGTATATATACATGCAGACAAAACATCCATACACATAAAAAAGTAGTAATAAAAGAAAGAGTGAGACAAAAGCAACTTTCAGTTCTTTAAAGAAATAAAGCAGTGGTTGAAGACAAATCTCTCTCTTCATCCTCCCTCCTCCTCTCTCTTAATGGAACCCAGAGCCTTGTGCTGTTCTGCGGGCACCCTCTTACTGAGTTATCCCTAGCCCAACCCTTATTTATTTAGAACGTATGTGCATGCGTGTTTTGCCTTCATGTATGTATGTGTACCACGTGTGTACCTAGTGCTAGAGAAGGTCAGTGTGGGCCTCAGATCCCTGGAACTGGAGTTATGGATGGTTGTGAGCCACCATGTGGGTGCTGAGAACAGAACCCGGGTCCTCTGTGCACACAAGTGCTCTTAACCGCTGAGCCATCATCTCTCCAGCCCCTCCCCACTTATATTTTCTGTTTTGAGACAACCTCATTATGTTGCTCAGGCTAGCCAGGCACTTCCAATCCTCCTGCCTCAGCCCCCTGGGCAGCTGGAGTGGCAGGGCTGGGCCACTAGGTCTGGCAGCCAAATTTTCTTTTGGGGAAAACAAAAACAAAAACAAAAGTGTATTTGTAGGTTTCTCCCTTTTTGCAACAGAGGCAGCAAACTTCCCACACTTACATCTCGTTTTCTTTTCTGAACAGGGTCTCATGACACCACATCTGACCAGTTCGGGGCTCGCAGGAGCCTCTTGCTTCAGCCCCTCAAGTAGCTACAAGTGTAAGTCTGATGGAAAGTCCAACCCCTTTTCTTACCTCAGTCAGGAAAGTCTTCTGTGTTTCCTCATCACAACGGATTAACTCCTTCATGACCATCACTTTGCCTGTGGCTTTGTGAGTCACCTACAGGAAGGGCACGTGTTAGCAGTGCAGAGACCAGTTCTGGGATGGGGGACTGTGAATGTCTGTGGGCCAAGGGAGGCGTTCGGTGGCAGAGAACTTAGCTGGCATGCTCAAGGTCCAGGGTCTGACCTCTAGCACCAGGGGAAAAAAGAAGAAAAAGGGGGGGGGGGAAAAAGCAAAGGAAATTGTTGTGGTGTACCCCCATTCCTTGGAGGACATACTAAGCCACAGCAGATTGCCCAGAGATCATGTGTAGAGGACAAAGCAGGGGATGGGGGACTCAGGAAGGACATGTGTCTTCTCCCCTAGATGCCAGGCATGCACAGAGGAAAGCCAGGACTCCAGAAGAGGAAACTGGGGAAGGGGGGGCACGCTGCCAAGCCAAGCAGGGGTTTTGCTCATCCGGCACAGGAGTGAGTCCCCTGGATGAACAGACTAGGGGCAGGGTGTCAGTGCCACAGACATGCACCAGGGGGCCGGGTGGGTCCGAGGTGAGCCTTCCAGTCTGGCTACCTGGAAAGCTGAGATACTCGGCTTACCTGACCCCCCCTCCCAGCTCTCAGCAGAGGAGGAGGAGAGAAAGAGAGAAAGGTTAGTTCCTGAGTTCACCAGGATGGTAGGAGCCTTTACCTGGTAGCATGCCCCGCCCTGGGGCCTGTGGGCACCTGACACACACCCTTACAGACTGGTGAGGGCTAGGGACCTGGATCCTAACCTGGGTTTCCAGAGCCCAAGCTCACTAGAGCAGCAGCGCTGCTCTTAGGTGGCTGTGCGGGGACAGAAAGGCTACTTCAGATACCATCACTCACAGCCAGGAAGGCTGAGTGTCCTACAGGGTCGCAGTGTGGCACTGTAAGGTAGACTCGCTGAAAAAAGTGTGAGAGGCCTAGCAAGGTGGCTCAGCAGGCAAAGGAACTTGCTGTATAAGCCTGACGACCAGAGCTGCAGCCCCAGAACACAGGTAAAGGTGGAAGGAGAGGACAGACCTGCCGCAGTGCCCTCTGGCCTCCCTACGTGTGCCATGGCACTACAGCACCCGCACGTGCCCACACAGATATCACACACACAACGAAACAAAGAAAAGGAAAAGGAAGGTGGCGGCGGCGGTAGCAGAGTCCAGCGGCTGTGCTCACCTTGATGGCCTGCCCGAAGAAGCCCTTGCCCAGGACCTCCCCGTGGAGCAGGTCGCAGGGCCGGAAGATCTGCTGTGAGTAGCTGCTGGAACAGCGCAGGGATTCGGAGCGGCTGATGTCACGGCTGAGGAGCAGGGGCTCCTTGGGAGAGCTGGGGCCAGGAGACTTGGAGATGCTGTTACTGCGCCTAAGGATGGGCAAAGGCAGGCTGTAGAGACTCGGCAAGACCCCGCAACAGGGAAACAGTCAGGTGTACCTGGTCACTCCGGTGTCTGCAGTTGTGGTTCCCTTATATCAGACAGATATGCTATTTGGGAACTGCAGACAGTATTAATCATAGTAAAAATACATTCAAAATGGGAAATCTGGAGACTAGAGCTATATCTCAGTGGTGAATTATCCACTTCGTATGTATGCAGCCCTGGATTTCATACCTAGCACTGCGAAGTGCAGCGCTGTGTGTTTGTGTGTGCACATGCGCGTGTATATGTGTGTGTATGGACAAAGAACTTCACATAGATGATTAACTATAGTCTACTAGCTTATGATACTCCGGACACAACAGCACCGTCGATAGCAATCCATTCCTGCTTGATTCAAGGTACCATACAGTGATGGAAAGCTCCATCTACGAAAGGGACAAATGCATTTTAGATCAAATTTTGAATAAATCTGTATCTGCCTGTACTGCTTACATTTTAAGATAACAAACATATGATTTTTATGGCAATAAAGCTACCGTATATACATTTGCAAAAGCAGTCAGTTACAGCAACGGCTGATGACTGGTTCTTCATCATACTGAGGGCCGACACTGCAGGCCAACACCGCGGGCAGACACCGTCCTGTGCTGCCAGCTTGCTTGCCCCTGCTCTTCGCTGTGCTGCCTCACGCTTTCCATGCCTACGGCACACGCAAGGGAGCTGCCTGTTCCTGCACGAGGCTTCTCTGGGCAGCTCTCCAGCCACTGCACTCCTCAGCCTTTCCTGCCCTCTGCCCCTGCTGCTTTGCCTCTCCTCAGTCATGCTGACCAAGGCCAAGTGGCTGTCAGGGGGAATCTGGGGAGAGGTCGTGTTCCCGACAGAAGCCAGATGACAGGGACCTGACTGATTCAGCTCATCTGAGCAGGGGTGGAGAAAGGATCTGGTTCCTAGTTACTCTAATGGTACGTCACGTTTATGGAGTGCAGACCTGGATCTGTACCTTGTCTCCTTTGCTACATTTAACTCTTACAGAACCAAAGAGACAGTCACCTTTATTGCAACCCCATCACAAATGGAGAAACAGGGTAAAACGTAAGATGAACATTATGGATATTTCTGCCTGAGAACATGGCACTTCTGACTCGGGTCCTCTAAGTCACTTCCATGGGGCTCACACACAAGATAACTGTAGCCCTCCATGGGCTTTGCCAGCTTTAGGTGTGGGGGTGTTTGTCCCCAAGTCTTAAAACACCTATGTTTGACAGCACAGCAGTGCTTTTGACCTAGCCCTCAGGAGGCAGAGACAGGCAGATCTCTCTGAGTTCGAGGCTAGTCTGGTTTCTAGAGTTCCAGGTCAGCCAGGGCTACAGATTAAGATCTTGTCTTGGCTGGGCGGTGGTAGCACACGCCTTTAATCCCAGCATTTGGGAGGCAGAGGCAGGCAGATCTCTGAGTTCCAGATCAGCCTGGTCTACCAGAGCTAGTTCTAGGACAGACTCCAAAGCTACAGAGAAACCCTGTCTCAAGAAAACAAACAAACAAAACAAAATAAAATAAAATAAACAAAAGATCTTGTCTCAGAAAGTGGGGAAGGCTGGAGAGATGGCTCAGCGGTTAAGAGCATTGGCTGTTCTTCTAGAAGACCAAGGTTCAATTCCCAGTACCAACATGGCAGCTCAGAACTACCTGTAACTCTAGTTCCAGGGGATCCGATACCTTCACACAGACATACATGCAGACAACACATGAAATAAAAGTAAAAATTTAAAACAACAAAAAACAAACCGAGCCGGGCGGTGGTGGCGCACGCCTTTAATCCCAGCACTCGGGAGGCAGAGGCAGGCGAATCTCTGTGAGTTCAAAGACCAGCCTGGTCTACAAGAGCTAGTTCCAGAACAGGCTCCAAAAAAACCACAGAGAAACCCTGTCTCGGGGGGGGGAAAAAAAAAAAAAAAAAACCGAAACAACCCCAACAATACTGCCCTTCCCCATCGCTCTTCTCTCTCTTTTTTTTCCCCCAAAACAGGATTTTCTGTGTAGCCTGTTTTGTAGGCTGTCTTCGAACTTGCTCTGTAGATCAGGCTGGCCTCAAATTCACAGATCCTGCCTCTGCCTCCCGAGCACTGGGATTAAAGGTGTGTACCACCACTGCCTGGTATTTGTTCATCTCTTTCATATATATATCCAGCTATCAGCCCCCCATTTCCCCCATGTTGGATTGCAAAGATTTTTGGCATTATAATTTCCTGTCTAGCTTGAGCTTTTTTTTTTAATTTTTTTGTTTTTTTGAGACAAGAGTTTCTTTGTGTACTCTTGGCTGTCCTGGAACTTGCTTTGTAGACCAGGCTTGGCCTTGAACGCCTGTAGATCTGCCTGCCTCTGCCTCCCAAGGGCTGGGATTAAAAGCACGGACCACCACTGCCCAAATGGCTTGAGTTTAATGGATAGAGCCGGATCCTCTGTTTTGGTTTGTGTGTACACCTGTGCACGTGTCAGAGGGAGAGAGTACATTTGTGAATGTGTGTGTGTGTGTGTGTGTGTGTGTGTGTGTGTGTGTGTGCATGCACTCATGCAGAGCTCAGCGGAGGATATCACATGTTCTCTCTCACTTTCCACCTTATTCGCTTGGGAGATCTCTCCCTGAACCTGGAGCTAAACTGGTGGCCAGCAAGTCCATTAATCCTCCTGTCTCCACTCCCAACGGTGCTGGGGTTTCAGGAACATGTCATGGCGTGTACAGCTATGCATGGCTTTTTACACGGGTCTTAGGATCTAAGTTCTCCTGTCTGCTTAGCAAGTAGTCTGAACCCAGCCGCAGCCTGGTCCTCTTTGAGACAGCATTTTACACTACAGTCCAGGCTGGCCTTGAACTCATGGTGGTCCTCCTGCCTCAGCTTCCTGAGTGCTGAGATTATAGATGAGAGCAATGCTTTTTTTAAAACTTGTACAAGTCTCAGATCCTGTCCCTGGTCCGAGGTTCCCTAAGGCTGCTGGCCTCCAAAAGCCAACATAGCCTCTGAGAGATAGACGATAAACAAGACAGGTAGGACAGCAGCAGCACCTCAGGGAACGTCTCCTCAGTGTCCCCTCCTGATTCTCCTTGGTGTCCAGGGTGCCGAGCGTGTGAGAGTGTCCAGTACTCTGCACGTGGGGAGAAAGCCGGGTATCTAGCCGCAGCTGGTCCAGGCGCTGGGAGACAGGGTCATGCTCGATCAGCAGCTGAAGTGTCTGGCTTGTCTGGTTAATCGCATCTTCCACCTGTGGCCAACAGCAGTGTAAGGTTCATCTCCACAACCTGTCCTACCCCAGGCTACCTACTGTCCCCACAAACGGTCTAAGCACCGTGTAGCCAATGCTCAGTTTGGTTAGCGGTGGCCTCTAACCACTAGAGGTCATTCAGTGCCCTCTGTCTGGCATTTTGTCACTTCGCCACCTCTCAGCCCATCTTTACTGCCCTGGAAATGTTAGGTTGATCCAGAAGGTCAGTACAGTTGTCACAGGCTCAATGCTAAGATGGGCTGGCATAGAAAAAGGCAAAGGCCGCAGCCAGGTCTTCTGGGAGCCTGTTCTGTGTGCCTTCCCCACGACACACACTGGACACACACTGTACCTCTTCTACACGCAGAGTGCTGACAGGGGTCCCATTGATCTCCAGGATGCGGTCCCCAGGGTGGATGGCATTGCGGTTGTTAGGACTGATGTGCATCCGGTTGACCCTGAAGACAGACAGGAATTAAGGTGGGATAAAAGCATTCTGAGAACTCACCTGACCGCTTGTACAGGGAAATCTCACCGAGGCCCATTATGTCACAACTCTTAAGGCCACCCACATGAAAACACAGTGCCCATCTCAGAATGCTTTCTTCTCAATGAAGGGAACTGTCCTTACCTATTGGCCTAAGCCAGAAGCCTGGACACTGTCCCCATTTGGAGTTCCCTCAAATCCCTCCTTTCTTCCCCCCAACCCCCACCCACTTCTGAGAATCCTGCCTTCTCTCCGTTACCATAGTTACCAGCATCTCTCTCCTGGATCACTGGAGGAATCTCTGCTCTACACCTCTAGGCCTTTCCTCTCTCATCTCCAGCCTCCACACCAGTGATCTTCCAAATGTCAATCCAGCTGGGTTATCTTGCTACTTAAAGTCCTTCATGGACCTGCTGGGCCATCACAGTCAAGGTCCGCCATGACTAACAGCCACTTGGGCTACTCTATCAACTTACACTAAACAGTCCCAGACACCTACCTCTGGAGATAACTGGTCTCCCTCTACCCCAAACAGTTTCCTCCTTTTTTTATCTACTGAAGCTACAGAACAGATCTCATCTTCTCCTGACTTCTTAACCCTAGTAATCGCCCACCTATACTGTAAGACCCAGCCTCATAGTCAATATTGACAGGGCTCCCTTTCTCTCTTAGTCATCACGAGGTGAGTAGTTTTACCACACTCCCTGCCGCCATGATGCTCTGCTTCAACACAGACCCACAGAAAAAATGAAGCCAGGTATTCCACAGACGTAGTCTCTCCTCTGATCTTTGGACAAGACCCAGGGCAAGATCTTACCCTCTTTGAGGTCATGGACTTTTATTTTCTTCATCCTCCATTCAAATATGCAACCAGTAAGACAATAACGGATGACTTCCTACTAATGGCAGGCCCTTGAACACAGTACTGAACGAGCCAAACAAAGCAAGTTCCCTTCTGGAGTTTATGTTGGAGTGGTCTCTAGTTAGGGTTCTATCGCTGTGAAGAGACACCACGACCACATCAACTCTTATAAAGGAAATCAGTGGGGCTGGCTTACAGTTTGAGGTTTAGTCCATTATTATCATGATGGGAGGCA